AAAGAAAAGAATGATGGTAACATATATACAAATGTGCTTGATACAATTGATGCAGGGATTGTTATAAGAGTTGTAAGAGGCCCCAATAAAATGATCTTTAAAGAAGGAAAAAAAAGAGAGATAGTCTCAAAACCCCACACGGGGCAGTTCTACCCTGTCCTACAGGGCCACTAAGAGCTGGCATGGACTCGATGGCAGGGAGTCTGGTTAGGGGGTTGGGTTCTTAGCCCAAAAAGGATGTGCTCCTCTTTCTGAGCTAAGAAACTCCTCCAGGTCTTCAAAAGTGGTTTGCTTTATAAACCATCCTTCATGGCTCAGCCATGGCCAATGAGGGCAAACTGGAACAGACCCAAATTTGCAAAGTTGGGTACACTGGAATGATAAGTCCTGTTAGAAACGTAATCTTCCTCTTTGAATGGGGCACGTACATGTTGCATAGCAACCATGTCTGCTGATCAGCAGAGTTAGAAACAAGGACCCCCCTGTGCTCAGAGATGGCAGCCACCTGACGGGCTGCTCTTCATAGTCCTGGCAACAAGCCCATCTCCCACATCAGTAAGCCCCCTCCAAATGCCCCGGTCCAGGGCTTCGACCTGTAACGTTCCCCATTGCAGCTATTGCTGCGGTACATCCACATTGTACACATGCTAGTCTCTTCTGATTTTGCTGTGTTACCCAACACTAAACAGAACCGAAGTCCTATTGTACACTCAGCTTCCCAGAATGCCTGAAAGAATGAAGAGCGTGCACACCCACTTGTTAACGTTTTCACCAGTAGAAATTGCTAACAGTTCATGTCTAAACTATCATCTACACCTTACCGAGTTCTAAGGCTTTTAAGCCGAAATACAGACGGTAACCCTTGTCACTTACCGCATTTGCTGAGGTGCCTGATGGCTTTTTCATACCGCTTCAAGTGTTTGTCTATAGTGAACCGCTGATAATTCGTGTCCATTTTCTTAAGTGTATTAAGAAATGGAAGATATTCTTTAGGATCCTAAGAAGATAAACAACAAGGTACCCATATTAAATGTAATTCAGTTTGCATACCAAAAGAAAGTATTTAATTTGTGAATGAGGGGGAGTGCGGAGTGGAGACCCAGAGCCCATCTGTAGGCAACAGGACATCATCCCCTTACAGAAAGGTCACGGGGAGAAGACAATCCAGTCAGGGTGCAGTGTAGCAATGATGAAACATACAACTTTCCTCTAGTTCTTAAATGCTTCCTCCTCCCTCCCCCTGGGGTCAATATCATGACCCCAATTCTACCTTACAAATCTCCCTAGACCAGAGGATGTACACTGGTACAGATAAGAGCTGGAAACACGGGGAATCCAGGACAGATAAACCCCTCAGGACCAACAATAAGAACAGCGATACCTGGAGGGGAAGGGGAAGGTGGGGGAGGAAGGGGGAACTGATCACAATGATCTACATATAACCCCCCTCTAGGGGATGGACAACAGAAAAATGGGTGAAAGGAGACATTGGTCAGTGTAAGACATGAAAAAATAATAATTTATAAATTATCAAGGGTTCATGAGGGAGGAAGGGAGGGTGGAGGAGGGAGGGGGGAAACGAGGAGCTGATACCAAAGGCTCAAGTAGAAAGAAAATGTTTTGAGAATAATGATGGCAACAAGTGTACAAATGTGCTTGACACAATGGATGGATGTATGGATTGTGGTATGAGTACACGAGCCCCCAATAAAATGATTTTAAAAAAATAAATCCCAAACTATACAACTTTAAACTTATCCTCAATAGAGCAGTTACATATTATATGAAACCAAAAACAAGTTTTGGTAAAATGCTCCAAAATCTGAGTATTATTAGCTTCCATTTAGAAGGATGATTAATGTTTCGCCACAGGCATTTCTTTCATAGGCTAATTACAATAAAAAGGTTCCAGTATAGAAGATACTCAACAAATGCATCTTGGTTTTCTCCTAAGGCCTCGAGCTTGCTGTTGCTCTCCTGGTTTTTCATGCCTACTGTTTGCAAAGGCCAAGGGTTAGGAACAGTACACTTACACCGCCGAGCTGGATGCTAACCTCCGAGCCTTGACAAACAAGCCCTGGAGCCTATCGTGTTCAGCTCGCTCACCTCCTGTACGAAATGAGTTTCTAACAAAACCAAACAAAATGCCTCTTCTTTATAGTGCTTTTTCCCTAGGCAAACAAAGCATTACACAAGGAAAATGCCAAAGGAAGTAATAATGAAATGTTCACAGGTGTGAAATGGGAGAGTAATGTGAGCCAAAATACTCAATCAAGAAGTATTTAGTAAAAATCTAACACGTATACCGAGTGAAGCAAAGCCCTTAATCTCTAGTGCACCTAATAAAGGAGACAGACTGTGCATCCAGGGGTAAGCACTACGTGCAATGGAAGCAAACATGTGGCCTAGCAGCTCATGTTCCCAGAGAGCAGCTTCACAGGGGGCCTGCACTGACCTTCCACCCCAGCCCGCAGGTGCAGGCTGACTACCAGGAACTCCTCCGCTCTCAGACCAGGGCTCAGATGCCCAGAGCACCAAACTCCACCCATGACTTCTCAACCATTGCTATACAATTATGATTCAACATAACATTCTTAGACTATTCAAGGAGGGTGAATGAGGCCAAAATTCATTTAGGATATTTCATTTAACATACATGGTGTGTACAAGCATGCTATGCCAGTTTTTTACATTTTATTCTTTTCACCCATTATGTGTGTGTTCATGCATTAGTTACGTGGGCATGCTACCTGCAGGTGGTGCAGTAGAGAGTAATCTTTAAAGAACTATCAAGACATTTTTGTTCACTTATATAAACTCCCTCCCACCCTCCCTCCCTCCCATTGAATTGTTTCCAACTCACAGCAAACCTACAGACAGGGCAGAACGGCCCCTGTGGGTTTCTGAGACTGTAATTCTTCATGGGAGTGGAAAGCCTGGTCTTTCTCGTGATCTAACCTAGCAATCAAAAGTATGATGGCCTGAAGATTGAAAGCAAGAGCTCTGGAGTCCCACAGATCAGCCCCAGGCTGGCGCTCACAGGGTAACTTCAAACAGGTGGCTGACCTCTCGGGAACAGAGATTTGTACTTGCATGACGTGTATAGAAAACTCCCCAAAGATGTACCTTCTGTGACTTCTCGGCGACCATGAGGACCAAGTCAAAGTCATAGGTCCCGAGAGAATGCTCATACAACTCATTGACGTCCACCAGAAGCAGCAGATATTGCAGCGCCTCCTCTGCGCTCACAGCGTCAGGACCAGGCGGCGCAGTTCCTGTGGGTGTTGAAGAAAAACCAACACAAAACATGTGAGGGGAAAGGCCCACACCCCCAACAATTTAACCAAAAAGATAAAAAGTCATATTATACATTTTCTTGACAGAAAAGACCATCAGATAAGATGTATTTTCCTTTCTTTTTCACATGTTTTGTAGGGCAGCAAACACTGAAAATGTCTCACAGTGAAATGACATTCAAAAGGTCACTTGTGAATGATAAGGCAACAGTCATGGCCCCGGTCAGCAGAACCTTCCAAAGGGCAGAATAATGCCAAAAACGGAGGGCACTTTCAAACACTCCGCTCCAGGTCTCTACCTTGAAGCTCGTGGACCTTCTGAAGCACGGTTCCCAGCTCAGGGATGGTTTTCTTCACATGGGAGGTGAGGATGGACAGGCAGTACCTGAGGTTACGAAGGAGAGAGAGACAGCAGCACGAGAAAGATGACGTGGCCGACCACGGACGAGCCCGTGCATCGCATTCATGAGGCGGCGGACGTACCTGTGAGGGTTTATGCTCTCCATGGCTGCCCGCAGCGAGTCACAAATGAGGTCCACGCTCTTCCCCTCTGGATTCCTGGGCAGCTGGGCACCGCTGGAAACTGGGGGAGGGTACATGGTCTGTGTAACATCTTCTTCCCTAAGAACAAGTGTTAGAAGATCACTCATTGATGATATGCCCCAATTCTCAAATGCCTAAAGGACCAATAAGAGAATACAAATGACGATGAGGTAAAGTCCATTTAATTATAAAAAGACTCACAAAACAAAGTAAGAAGTTTGGGAACAACTTTTAATTCCCAAGGTCTGCTTAGTAGTTCATCAAATTAAAAAGTGACTCATTCAAATCATACTGAATTCTAAGTGATAAGAACTACACAAATCAGTTGTCAGTGCTTCTATGTTGCCTATATTTTTAAAAATCACATCAATTTAGAAAAAGTCTGGGAGTTTCTTCTAGAACTAAGCTGCCGTGACCCATGACCATGTAATCCCACTCCCAGGTTCTCTCTCATCCCAGAGAAATGAGAGCGTGTTCACCCAAGGCTTGTATAATCACGTTCACAGAAGTCCGATTCACATTAACCCAAAGCGGGGATAGCTGGTTGTCCATCAACAGGGGACTGAGCAAACAAACTGGCGTGCGGGCTACCCAATGCCTAACGCTGAGCAAATCGTGATCCAGGCGCCCACGTGGTCCTGAAAGCATTATGCCTGGTGTGCGCAGCTTCATTTATACATATGAGGCTACATTTTACGGCTCCTGTGCACACAGTTAGAGAACCGCTCAGAGGTGAGAGCCAGGGTGAGGGCAGGAACTCAGTGGGAAGGGCTTGAGGAGACACCCTGAGATGCAGGAAATAGCCCCTAGCTTGAGAAGGTTTGGAGTCACACGAAATATGTATCTGTCAAAACTCAAGGAACTTATAATTTGTGTATTTCATTTTAAACACACCTGACATAAAACAACAACAACAAAATTCCTACACACCAAGAATACAGCCTCGTTCGGCTCCACCAGGTGAGGTCCTGAGGGGTGAAGTGGCCTCAGGCCACAGCATACTCAGAAATGCACCTCAAAGCAAGGTGGATGGCTGGACAGTAGGCACAGAGCAAGCAAATATGGATGACAGAATCTAGAGGGAAACCACAGGATGCTCACTGTACAATTGCCTCAGCTGCTCTATGCCTTTAAAATCTCATTAAAAAGCTGTTAAGTGTCAGAGAAGGACATCATTTAATTTCAATCTCCTAAAAAAATTTTTCTTAAACAAAAAGTTCAGATGATTATTTAAAAATCAAGTAACCAGATAACGTAAATAATCTGAATGACATATTTTAAAGTCAGCTTTTAAATAGGTTGTTTTTAAAAGGTGGAGCAGCAAAAGGAAACCCAGTGGCAACTGGAAATTGCAATAAGAACAAAATATACCGAACTACATATTTGACTTATCTCTATTTATCCGTTTGATTTTAATCAGAGGGAAGAAAACTAGGGTTATTATACTTATAAACAATTCAAAATACTTACTTCAGTTCTGTGAAAAACAAATTAATATGATTTACAGAGTCGATCTGTTTTATGAAGGTTTCCACATTCTCAAGAAACACCTATCCAAAAATGGGGGAGAAAGATTTCAGTTCAGGTCATGTTCGTTCTTGCCTCTAGTGAGCTCAGTGCATGTCCGATTTGGAGAGTCACCTTGGGGTTGTGATCATGAAGCAGGTTGAGATTAATTCTCAATTTCCTCATGCACTCAAAGGCTTCTTTAAACATCAGTCTGTGAGGAGACAAAGAATGTTTCCATTACCATACAACCCAGTTATAATCGGAATATAGCCAACATGCTGAAACTGCCACTGGATTTCCACTCAACTCAGAAACCCCCAAAATTATGTATCAAGTCCCTTTCACTCCTTAAAAGTTGTGAACAGGTCGACATAGCAGTCTGGTGCCTTGTCTACATAAAACAGAAAATCACTTAGTTTTAAAAGAAAACAGTAAGACAGCTCTTCCTGACACAAAGTTTCCCACCGACTGATCCAAACAATGGGTCATTATCTTTGGGACAGTGGCTGAGTTTTTTGGAAGAGCCCTCTGTAAACCTGCGAAAACAAAGACGCTTTGTGAACCATTTGAGTGGGCTCGTGAGCCATCCAAAGCCTGAGTTGATCCCTTGCAGGTCCCTTTATGAAGCCCCGTTTTGTATGATTCTTTATGCTTAAAAAGGAGCCCTGGTGCTACTGTGCATTAGGAGTTACATTTCTAACCTTAAGGTCGGCAGTTCAAACCCACCAGTCACTCCGTGGGAGAAAGATGAGACTGTGAGCCCACAAAGACTTAGAGAGTCAGAATCCCTATGCAGCGTTGCTATGAGTTGGAATCTACTCTATAGAAATGGATTTGATGGGCTCTGCTTATAAAGTCTATTATACCCTATAGTTATAAAATCAAAATATGAAAGGGAAAATGCTTATGAAAATCTGACTGAAGTCACAAGTAATGTAGGTTTCTTAATTGTTGAAAAAAGTAATAAAAAGACTGAGTCTTTTCGCACCTAAATCATAATAAGAAGGTAACTAGTCACATATAATAGGCACTTACTTGTCCAACCACTTACGAATCTGCGCTAAAACCAGGGCTCGGTGGTGAACAACCTCTAAATTCCCTCTTGGCATCTACAATGGAAAAAAATAAAGAACAGAGTTTTTTTATGACACAGAAAAGCTGTAAGTACTAGAACACGTGATCTGACTTTCTAACTCTTCACCAAGAGCTGCCAGAAAGCCGGAAAACAAGTACACTTTTAGCTGAATTTAGCTGTGCCCAATGTTTTTGTGACATTTAACAGCAGCAGCATTTTTAGCCTGCCCAGCCAACATTAAGGTGTTCAGGTGGCGTGGTGGAGTATGCGTTTAGCTGCTAACCACAAGGCCGGCAGTTCAATCCCACCGGCTCTCTAAGCGAGAAAGATGAGGCTTTTGGCTCTTGTGGCGATTTACAGCCTTGGAAATCCAGAGGGGAAGTTGCATTCTGTTGCATAGGGTCACTGAAAGTCGGACCCCATTCCACAGCACTAGTTTTGGCAGCCGACATTCCTTTGTACAAAGTTAACAAACATTCCCGCAAGGAAGAGCGTATGATAAATGATTCTGAATGAGGGACTAAAGAGTCTAAAACACATTCTGCAAGAATTCGATTTAGTACCGTGTGCCTAACGACTATCAAAAGGATCACCTTAAAAATCAGCTTACCTGTAGTATGAGCTTTGTGTCCTGGGGCACAACAGTGACGATGCGTGACCCTCTCTCCACCTTCCGCAGCATCTCTTCACTGGACACCCCACTGCTGCTCAGGCCTGCCTGTAATGCTACCGATACCACAGCTTTAAGACTCACTACCTGGACAAGCCACTCTCAGGACACCACAGTGGAAAACGCACGTATTACCCCAAACGGAAGAGAGCCCTTAACCATCGGCTCCTGGGTGCTCCCCCTGGCACTGAGGGCAGTCCACTAAACCCTCATCCCCGGACCAGCCGCGCTCCCTTGGAGTCCTCACGCACAAATATTCACAGCCCCTCAGGTGGAGTGGAGCCACACAGGGAGGCTCGGACAGCTCCTCCTTTCTTAGCACAGCATAATCACACAGGGAGAGAAAGATGTCCAGTCTCCCAAACAGAAGTAAGAGAAAGTAAGTGGGCTTCTTTAGAATAAGGAAGAAATGTGTACGCTCATACACACAAAAGGGAGTGTGGAAAAGGACAAGGGAGCTAATTTCCTATCAGTCACGAGACGGAGTCCTGCAGAGGCGGCCACAGGGAGAAGAGGGAGCCTTCCCTGCAGTGAGAACACAATGTCCATCTTGGAGGAGCTCTACAGTAAAGTGGATGCATGTTGGTGGCCGAGGGGCAATAGGATGTGCTGTTGGTAAAAGGATCTCTTTCTCTGGAAGTCTTCGCTCACTGATGCAGGCAGACCTCCCTGACGTTTGATACTGACATTAGGGGCTAAGTAAGGAAACCCTGAAGGTTAGCTAGGGTTCTCAAACTTCATGATAAGCCAAAATAGGTAAAATCAAAACAAAACCCCTACCCCGGCAAACACCCTTAAAGTCCAAGGACAAAGGTAGTAGAAGAGGGATTGTTTCTATTCAATAGACGGAAAACTTACTCTCAAACGAGGTATCTCTCAGACATAAACACTGGCAGGTATGGGAATGGGTGGTCAACAATAAAAATTCGCCACACACAGCAAAGGATGTGATGTTTGATGCAACCTGCAATGAGACCAGGGAGGTGAGGGGCCCTGGCAGTATTGCTTGGAGGAAACACTAACAGGAGACAGTGCCCAACCAGCTCGATACCTCAGTGTCATTGACGAAAAAGCGACACCTCTCGCTCAGACCGAGGACACATTCCTAAGAAGAAAAGAATTGGAGTTACAACCATTCGAACTCAAGCTTCTTAACCCTAACACTCCCCTCAATTCGCTCTCGCAGTTCACACCAGATATGGAGTGACGATGAGCAGTTCACACCAGATATGGAGTGACGATGTGGTTGTTACCATGGAGACTGGGTGATAATGACAGCTGCTCCCTCAGCCTGCCCTGTCCTTTCTACCCAACCCCCACAGGTATGTCTCAACCATACCCCCTTTCCCACACTCATCAACTCCCCTCCAAACGTCTCTGCTGGTTTCCCTTCCATTTGTGTCCCGCTCCCTCTCTCCACCGGACAACCATATTCATCTTACCAACCACCAAACAGATCACCTGGAACGTCCAATCTTTACAAACGATCACTTATCACTCCTGCCATCTTGCCTCCCATAGCCTTTGAATATGCTGAGCTTTCTCCAAGCTCCGAGTGTTTTATTTCTATTGTCCTTAAAAGATACTCAAGAAAACTTAACTCAGTGTTTTCTGTATAACTGAATATGAAAGTTTGACAATTGTAGTTTCCTATTTTCTGATACCCACCCCCAAGGAAAGCAAAGAACGAATTACTATATTCTGTATGATTTTTTAATCACATACATTTTCTCATTTAGTTTTCTCCCAAGACTAGGTATTGATCCCAGGTGATGGATGAAAGTGTTGAGGCTCTGAGGGAGCTCTCTTGGCCATAGCTGAGATCCAGAATCTCGTCTTGCATTCGCCTCCAAAATCCGTGCCCTTTCTACCTAACACCGTCAGCCCCTGTGTAACTCCTTTAAGGGCTAACTTTCCTGCACTGGGTTCACATACCTCTCCCGCAACCATGGCCAGTTCAAACTGCATGCAGGGGTAAGGGAACTGGACCGGGACTCCCCCAGGCTTCTTCCACGGCTCAACAGCCAGACAAGGTGACTCTGCAGAATCAACAGGCCTGGTTTACAATGAGCTGGTCTACTCTTTGGAAAGAATCTTAGCCATCACACTCGTTAAAACACGTAAGTGTAATTTAGAACACTTCCCAAATGCAATGTGGCAGCTCAGCAGACCATGTCAGTTCATTATATGGGAAGACACATAGTAGACAAACCCTGAAAACCAAACTCACCGCCATCGAGTCCATTCTAATTAACAGTAACCCTCTAGGACATGGTACAACACCCCTGTGGGTTTCTGAAACTGTAAAACTTTAAGGGAGGAGTAGTGGTTGTTAAGTGCCATCAAGTCAGTCGCAACTCACAACTGTTCTCCTGCTTAAGGCCTTCGTCGCAGCCACTTATGGTGGTAGAAAGCCTCATCTTTCTCCCCAAGGGTGGAATACATACACCTGCAGTTCCATTCGATAGCCTCGGGCTCTCCAGGGTCATTAAAAGACCCAACAGCACTGCACTGACAAGGTGCTCACAGTCCGTGTTCTGCGACAGTCCTAGGCACACTTCCCTCGCACTTTGATACTCACCCCAAAGGCACTTAAAAATCTGTCCATCAGCCAGCTGCAATGCTACTGAGTTGGTGTTGGAACTGCAACACAGAGAGATTATGACCCCATCCACTGTCACAGATGAGCTGACAAAAGAAACAAAGAGAAGGGCTAAGGGGAGGGGGCATGCACAGACCACTTATCTTGGAAATAGTGACATGTTCTGGGGGTTGTTTTTTTTGCAAAGCAAGCAAGTAGTCTCCCTTTGGTACTGGACTATTTCAATAGACAAGAGCAGGTCAAGGAGTTGTGCTACAAAATCAGAGAAAGCTTCATTAAACCAAAGCATTGACACGTGAAGCTACTGCTTTTGGACCCAGCCTCTATCTTGATCAACACACTTCTGAAAACAGTGCCTCCATTTCTCTCCCCCTCCCCTGAAGGGTTCTGCACTCTTGGACTTTTATCAACATTCTTCTCCATTTCATATTGCCGTCTTGACATATTTGAGGGTCTCGATTTACGTTCTTTGTGAACGTTGAGTTTTGAGGACAGAAAGAGGTCTGAAAGGGCAAGAGAAGGACTGAGGGATGAGAGTGGTCAGGTTTCCCAACAAATTCTCCTAGGACGGCTCAGGATGGCTCGTTACCCCAGGAGGAGGGCCATGCATGTCACTGTCGTGATGGAAAATTCCTCCCGGCCCTTTTCTCACAACGCGGTTTTCAGTTTTCTTGAAAGGTCTTCCTGAGTCTCTGCTATTGCCCTGTGACCTTGGAGAGAATCTATCAAGATTATTCCTTTGGGAGCCCTCTAAAACAGCCTTCATAGCCCTCTGTGCTGACGCTGTGCCTTGCATCTAACTGGCCCAGAAGATTCTTCCCGAAGCCACTGTTTTGGTGAAGTCCCTGAGGAGACTGACAGGCGTACTCCTGAGAGAACGTGTCTACAGCCAGCTACTCCTGACAGCGGTATGTCTTGGCACATTTTGCTTGGAATAAACACCTGGAGCCCAGCAGCAAAGGTTTTGGATTTACCCTCATAGAATTTGTCTAGTGGCTCTTCATTTGTAGGAAGAAGGGAATCTGCTATTGCCATAACATTCTCTCCCGAGGAAACGGAAAGGGAGAAGTACAGGTGTCTCAAAATGAAGAGTAGGTAATAGCAATCATTCAGATTTTTTCATCCATCTGCCAAAAATAAATTACCCCCCCAATCAAACCCTAAGCACACACACACAAAAAAGCATTACTTTCGACTACTACAAACATTCCATATTTGTGAGTACTCGATTTTCTGTGAAGACGGGTTGGAACTGGATGCTGGTGCCATCTGGATGGCCTTGGGTTACTCCTTAACTGACCTTACCTGCCTTAGGGGTCTCCTCTGTAAAATGGGGTACATACTTCAAAAGGATGCTGTGAGAAACAACTGTGTTCATGTGTGCTAAGGACTTGAAGAGCACCCTTTGCCAAGTTTAAGCTGGAGTTCAGCATGAACTACAATAAGTACAATAGCTTACAAAGAACCGAGAAAACCAGACTCAGTGCCATGAGCTGATTCCGACTCACGACGGGTTTCTGGGACTGCTACCTCTTTACCGGAGTAAAACACCTTGTCCTTCTCCAGCAGAGGGACGGGTGGCGGCTTTAAGCTTGGGGTTAGCAGCCTCACACATAACCACTACATCACATAATCACTACATTACACGAAGGACAGATCAACAGCAATAACCTGATCTCTTTTGTAAAATCACTGATATTTTGTTATGACAAAATAGTTACTTTCTGTGAAACAGGGGAGAACAATGAGGCTTTCTGCTTTCATAAAGATGTATAACCTCAGAAAACTCACAGGGGGAGTTTTACTGTCTTGCAAAGTTGCCATGAGTTAGAATCGACTCAATGGCGGTGAAGTAAAACAGTTTTTAATCTAATGTGATTAGGGTAATAATTTCAAATCAAAGCAGCAGAAATATGCTTTTTTAGGTAACTTTCCTTATTAGATTAAAGCAAATGAGATGAGGACATCCAATTTTACCTTTTACAAGCTAATGAGAATTTCCGATTCAACCAAAAGGAAACTTGGATACTTTAGGCATTTCTTATGTAAATCACTCAGTTTTTTAAAAATATAAGCTCCTGTTAACTCTGAGGGTGCTACATGTGCTTAGAATATATTCTGTATGTAGCCACCTAGACGTTTTTTCAAAATATCATAAAGCACGCTGAGTCAAAGCTAAGGTGTGAACGATTGCATTCTAATATGTTTTAAGTCATAATTGAGAAGGTTCCTCATTTGCAAAAGGAGTTTAAAGCACAGAAATGTAATCAGTTGGGCTGTCACCGTAAATGAGCCCGGGGAGCAGTAGCAGTGTGTGCCTAAGACGCCATGTATGGACGGGGGGAGGAGAGAGGGAGTGCGCTGCAGAGTGGCACTCAGGCAAGCCCCGCCTGCAAGAAGATGAAGTCGGGACTCAGAGCCAACTCTCGAACCCACCATACACGGAGGTTTCAGCAGAGAAAAAGAGAGGAACCAAAAAGGCAACATACAGATGGAATTTCCTCCCACTACATTCGTGTGTGAGAATGAGTCACGCTAATTCCCTCTGGCATTATGAAAATCAGTTCTAAGATCTGAAAACACCTCTCTGTCAGAAAGTGTGTATATATCGAATAAAAACACTGAACACATCTAAACAACGTTTTCCTTCATTTCTTAGCATTAGTCCTAGTTTCACCACTCTTCAATGCATTTTCCAGTCTTCATAAGGAGACTTAGCCGTTTTACCAAGTGGGTTGAACAGAAGAGCCACTATTCCCAGCCTTGCTCATCAGAGGCCCCAAAGCAAAGGTAATGAAAACGTCCTTCCGCTGCCGATTAGCCCGAGACACAGGCCAGCACTGCCGTACCTGATGGTGAGCTGTCCTTGCTCCTCACTGGTCTCCGAAGCAGCCGCGGTCAAGCAGTAAATGACAGACTGTGGGCAGGCCGAACTGTGGCTTACGGCCAGGAAAACGTCTTCTTGAATCCAGGTGAAAAGGCCGAGCTTCAGTGGGTTTACTTCTTGGTCTTCATTATTCTCAAATTGAATTCTGTTGGAGACATTGAAGAGCATCCAAGACATAAGCAAATCATGAAGAGCACTGAGATTTTCCTGAAAGAGAAGCTGAAGTTTCCTTTACTCTGAGATGTCTAGATTCAAGGAGAACATTCAAGAAAGCGGTTTCTCAAGAAAGCTATCTGCCGCAGCCACCACGCCGAGCCTCTCCATTGTCAGCTCTGAGCAGCATCCCCACTTACCTACAAACCAGACTCCTGCAGATACAAACAAACCAAACTCACTGGCACGGAGTCCATTCTGTCACACCCACCCTACAGGAGCGCGCAGAACTGCCCGTGGTTTAGACTCTGTTGGCAGGAGTCGAAAGGCGAGTCCTTTATTCTGGAGAACAGCTGGTACTTTTGAATAGCTGACCTGGCAGCTAGCAGACCACTGTCTACACCTCCAGGGCTCCCTTCCAGCACATACATGGGAGCTTTAAAAAGTGCCATTTCTTTTTCATTCCCTTTAACTATGAACTTTGTGAAGCCCCTTCGTATCTGGGTCTCAGTTTGGGTTCTCGTGGAAGCACCTCACATTAAGTTAGGGTCAGAGGGTTTGCCTGCCTCTGAAGCCTGCCTGCTTCTGTGCATTTACACATCTGACCAAGCCGCTGGTTTTGCCATCTCAACACTAGGAACCTCAACGCCACTTCCTGCCCTTTAGGGAAAGTGGTCATTCCCCTCAGCTTGGGCTGAAGCGGCTCCATCGTAGGCTGGATATTCCGACTCAAGCAGCTGTCTCTCCACTGTGATCAGCCCACTCCGGAGTACCCAGCTCTGGTTGTCACTGGCACTCTCCATGCCACCACACCCAACACTTCCCATTCTTCTTTACCGATCCCAAAGGAGTGTTCATCTCTCAGTTTTTAAGAACTGAAATTATACTCTAAATGACCACATACCTTCTGGTTTGTATATGGGTGCTTGAGGTTTTCAATTATAGCCGATCATTTACAATATCATTCCAGTGGTAAAATTTCTTCTGCTTTCTTCTCAGAGACCCTAAAACCATGGCAACCCAGATGCCCAGGAGTGTGTCAGAAAGCAGAGCGGCTACAATAGACCATCCGCATGCTAACACTCACACATCCTCCATGTGTAGGAGAGCTCAAGGCTGCCCTATCACCCTCAGCTCCATCAGTCCTGCAGGATTTCCCCTGGAGCACCAGGGCTGTAACTTGACTGAGGAATTGAACTCCCTGTCACCCACCAGGACACATGGCGCTCAGAGGTACAAGCTGTCTGGCTTCCCTATCCCAGCTGAAAACGGGAGTCCAGATGTTGTGTCTGGACTCAATGTTATTCGACTCAACAGCAAGCAGAGAATACCAGTTGACTGAATCGAGGAGGACTACATGTTGGCTGCTTCTAGAAGTCCGAGATGATGAAGAAGAGCTTACACGTATCTCTTTTCCAGATGAGGTATCGTGAGGGGAACTTGAAATCCGTTTCCACCCACAGCGCCCAGTTTCATGGTGGGGTCTTCACAGGGACTGTCACCTAGAGAGAAAAATGGTGACCGATACAGATGTCGCTTATACTGCACAAGGGGCTCTGCATCGAGTCACACAGCCATCGAGAAAGCAACCACGTCTCATCCTCTTTCTTCAACCTCCATCGACCTGTCGGTCTTTATCAACACCATCTTCTTCTCCAGATGGGACCTGTCACCGTCTTCCCCCGTCCAGGTCACATGGTCATCAGATGGGGGGGGGGCTGCCTCTCACACAGCGCCTTTCCTCCCACCATCAACGCTCAGCTATCGCCAAGAACCCACGAACCCTCCCAGTTCTCTTCTGTTCCTGCCTCCCTTCATTCACTGCATGGCAGCCATGGCACTCCTCGGGTCAAAGGCCTCCAATGGAGTCCTACCTCGGTATAAAAGCCAAGGCCTCATAAGGGCCCGCACAGCCCTGCATGCTCTGTCCTGCCACCCGGTGACCCCAGAGGCTGTCAGCAGGCCTCAGCGCTCTGCTGCCTCCAGCCGGGCCTCCTTGCTGTCTTGTAAACCTCTGAAGTTGCTTTTCATTCCGCCAAGGATGGTCCTTCCTCAGATGAGTGTGCGGCTCCCTCTCAGGTGCCCACCAGATCTAGGACAACACGCCACCTTTCCAGAGGCCAGATCTGTGTGTTTTCAATGTAAAATGCACCCTCTTCCAGCAGCCCCCCTGCCCTCCAGCTCTCCCTACTCCTCCCTGCTCTATTTCCCTACATAGCACGTGCTAGCGAACATATTACAGATTATTCAAAGAAAAAGGAAAAGATAATAAAATTCTTCCCCAAACTTTCTTTTATTTTAATGTACTATCTTTCTTGTATTTTTATTTAGCATCTTTCTCCCCGTCCAGAAAACAAACTCCACATAACGCAAAGACCACAAAAGGTCTGGCACATAACGGATCAATCGACACTGAGCGGAAAAAGAGGCAGCTAGCTTGCACACGTTGTCATCGGGTTTGTGCCCCCGTCCGAAGTCCACCACTTGCCTCCGAGCTCTTCATCTGCACTGCGTGCTCTTTTCTGTTCAGGTCAGCACTGAGACCTCAGCTTAGACTTCAACACCCACGCTTTTCCTCGGATTTCTTCTGATCTCAATGACTCACTTGACTCCCGGTACAACACGAAGCTAACCGTCTGCTTTTTCTACACCAGCACCCTTGAACCTCACCAACTTACCTCCCTCCTACTTTACTCCCCAAGCCAGTGCCCAAAGCTGGCATCCATCCAGTGCAACTCCACTGGAGCTACCCACACTAGGTCACCACCTGAAACTGCTCCACACCTTCTGATAAGGTTTCCCTTAAACCTTTTCCACACTTATATCCAAACTCTCCACACGCTGCATAAATGCTCTACGGCCCTGGATTTGTACAATTTCTCTCTTCCTCCCATTTCCACAGCCACTGCCCTGGTTCAAGCCTTCACCATGTCCGGCCTAGAGCCTCCACTACAGCATGGATGCTTGGCCTCTGTCCGGAGGCCCTTGTCCACTCTTGCTTGAAGTCTCTCACGGAGACTTCAGGGAAATCACAAGCCCTCTGGCATGCTGTTCTCTCCTCTCTGGACCAGGAAAACCCCATGCCTCAAACGAGCTCAAGCAGGGCTAGGAAGACTAACTGAAAGTGTGTGCAGAGACTATACATCTGATACAACACACTAAAGCTGCAGTAGAGATCAGCCCCTCTCCACATTAAAGAGCTCTCTAAAGGTACCTGACTCTTAAAACAACAACAACAACAACAACAACAACAACAACAAAATCCACACTCACTGCCATGGAGTTCATTCCAACTCACAGCGACCCAATAGGACAGGGTAGAACTGCCCCTGTGAGTTTCTAACCCTTTAACTCTTCATGGGAATAGAGAAACTCTGTAACTCTTCATGGGAATAGAGAGCCCTGTCTTTCTCCCAATGGAGAGGCTGGTGGTGTCGAACTGCTGACCTTGAGATCAGCAGCACAACATGCAATCACAACACCATCAGGGGTCCTTTAAACTTAACTCCAAGTTCAGTAAAATAAAAGCAATTCCTTTTGTAAGCCAAGGTAGGATTATAAAAAAACCTGAAAGCTCTCAGGCCAATGAACTACCACACCGACAGCAACGTCAATTGTAAACTTCAAATGAGCAGGAAGAGGAGCGCCCAGGCCCCAGCAGATGGTCATTTGCTCTTGCCGAGGAGTAGGAGGGGCTTACTGAGAGCCTCATGATAGCAGACTCGGCACATACCACATTTGTAGACGGAAACCTGGCGACTGGCGTCCAGGACAGCGAGGTCATTCCTCCTCTGAGGGTGTGCAGAGAACATGACTTGATTCACAGGCTCCGGGAACAGCAGTCGGTAGGTGTACATGGGAGGCGGGATCACAGTCTGCCGGAAGACGGTCATCAACACCCGGTCTGCAGGCGGAAAAGAAACGCAGGAAGCATCAAGGGGAAGTTTGAGTCATATAATACAGCATCTGAACAGCTCTGTGGACCACTCAGTAGGAATGATGGTAGAAAACATACAGATCTTTAAAGAAGTAACTTTCAGTGTTCTTTCACAGTCAGTGGGTTTAGGTGGTGGAAGCGGGAGGAGGGGTGTAAATGTTATGGGCTCTAACGGATATATGTGACTGCTGTCACCTTGAGGCCTAGACAAGTCCAGCTTTGAAGCCCAAAGTGCCTTCACTGCCAAGAAGTAAGGCTAGAAGGCAAAGCATTCAGACTTACAGTTTTAAACCTGGGCTTATAAACCCTATCAGACTAAAGCAAAAGGATCAGATTCCTGAAGGCACTTCCTGATGCCTGGATATGGTATACGACAGACCTGAAGTCTGTTGCCATCTGTGCCAAGTGTGCATCGAATTAAGACCACTATATTGAACATGACTTAGAACACAAACTCACATTATAATCTTAGAAGTAAGTGTTCTTTTATGCTAAAAGTAAGTGAATGATTTAGATGTGGCTGTTTCTCTCCAATTGCTAATCCCCCTCCTCAAAAATAAACAACAACAAAAAACCCTCCTCATGCCAAACAGAAACATGCAATCTGAATTGAACCGCCTGGGGAGGTTTATCACTACCAAGTATTATATCAGAAAACAAAGTAGCCTAAGTGGTGCATGGATCTCTGATATAAACCTTCCCCCAAGGCTCCACTACAACACTTTACCTCTTCTGTGCCAGGATCCTCAAAGACCAGACACGTCAATGTGTGAAGGTCATAGAGCCAGCACACTGAGAGCTGGGTGGTGTGTACCAAGATGGGTTGAGCGTAGAACATATGGTTTTCAGGACAAAGCACATACCGAGCAAGGGAATTCCCATTCAAGTAAAAACAAATCCCCAAGTATAAGCACGCAACCAACCAAATAAATGAAAACGATTCCCCACTGCCCACCTCAAAACACGTCATCTGCGGGCCTTGGTCCACAGCCTTCGGGCTCTTGGACCAGGGCCCACTTTCCAGCAACTTACACCCATCAATGACGGCCACGTTTGCCAGGTCACTGTCGCTGTCTCCCAAGCACCGGTCCGTTGTCCAGTGCCAGTCATAGCTGAGGTAATGCCAGCCTTGACAGAGAACATGCAGCCGGTACGGCATCACCGGATCCCACATCAGAGACACGGGCTTGTTCTTCCCATAGGAGCTAAAGTGGAGACTCTGCTTGAGGTACCAGTGGTAGTTCCCAATAGTCCACAGCTGCACTGTAGGGGGAGGAGGGGACTGTCAGGGGGTGGGGGTCAGACTGCAGAGGGCCTGCTGGAAGGGAAGAGGTACTCTCTGGAAATGACCCTTCTCACTCAGCTTCTTTATTAAAACAATAACAATAATGATGGCTAGGTTTATTAAAGTGAGGCAATTAGACTAAAGGTAGAACAAAACTCAATCCAAGAACAACTGATTCAGTCTCATTATGCTATTTTAGATGTAACTCAGTTTCCATGACTATCTATCTGGTATTAACTATGACTCAACCAATACTGTGGAGTCATATCTGACTTACAGTAACTCCATGTGGCAAAGTAGAACTGTGCCATGGGGGTTTTATACTGCAATCTGTATGGGTACAGAATGCTATGCCTTTCTCTCATATAGATACCGTCACTTGGCAGCTGAGCAATTAACCACTGCCCACCAGGGCCCCTTCTAAGGGAGATTAGCATTTAATGAACCTTTCCAATATCAGGAGTAGTCTCTCATAAACCAATTTATCACACAACCTAAGCTGATTTCTAGCTCTACTATCGGAAATCTCTTCAAGAATAAGGCCAAATCACGTTAAAACCAAGTCTGTTAAACAGATGAAGCACACAATTTAATATCTTTATTAAGGAACTAATGTTCTTAAAACATCTCTCTAGTCACTAATTCTTAATTGAGCAGTGACAGTAACTCTAATGTGGTTCTCTAGCTACATAATTACAATATTTCTACCTAATAAGCTGGAAAGTTAGACAACACGCTCCCTATACTCCATAAGGACAGAAGTTGTGGCGAGCAGACCATGGGCCTGGCCTCTGACTCAGTGGACTGTCAGACATGTTCTTCTCTGGCTGTACATATAAATCACTAGGGAATTTTAATTTATTTAAACATGCAGCTATACAATTCCTACTCCAACAGACTAACTCCAACTCTGAAATGAGGCCTGGGTTGAGAACTATTCTGTTGAAACAAAGAAAGAAGTGGAAAATAAAGTCTACAAACAGATTACAATTATGAATGCACAAATTTATAAACTGTTCCAAAGCAATACACATACTGGAAGCACACACACACACAGAACCCCAGGTGACACGTGATGTAATCTCAGGCTGGATAACCTAAGTGAAAGAGAACCCACGTGAAACACACACACACACTGGACAACCACACATTTCCTAAGTATAAAAGGCAAAAGTAAAGCTACATCACAAAAACAATAGGGAAAACTAGAAAAAATATCTGGAAAGAGTTGATACATAAAAAGTTGACACCTGACAAGAGTTGCTAAGTGAAAATTCTTACGATGACACAGCTAAAGAGGAACCAAAGTCATACGCAAAAGATAATGAGTGGCTGATGAATGTGTTTTAAAAGCTTGATTTTTCTACCATAAAACAAAGATGTGCACATTTAAGCTTTCATAATGTTCTAATTTTCATTTTACCTATGAGAAAAAATTTTAAAAGAACCTATAATACCCAGAATGGGTACCAAAGTCATATAATCCCTTGGGGCCAACAAACCCAGACAGAACTTGACTTAATTACTGTACATATTGAGCATCTTAATAATGCTCCAGTTGAAGAAACTGCTGTCCTGACTACAAAGCTTGAAAGCCATCTAGGAAACAATCAAGCAGTAAATGTATTTACATCCTTGGAAAGCTACGGAGGATTGAGAGCCCAGGGAGCCCCTCCTTCGCATGCACAGTCGTCCTGTGGCTCGCAGGGTCTTCAGCAGGACCACCGCCCCCAGAGAAAAGCACCATCCATCATGCAAACCAGAGCACTCTCACCTCTCCACTTTCTCCCCTCTGCTAACACTGATTCTCGGTGGGAGAGAGGAAGAAAACCCCAAAAACGTTTGATCAGACATGCAGCTGAATGGACGACCACAGGTGTCTTACCATACGTTTTCAGAGTGGATTGTTCTTCTGTTGGCAGGTCTTCCAGCCAAACTGTGAGCACCAAGGAGTCTGCATTCCAGAGCAGGCCATTCACCTAGCCGGAGAAACGTCTGTCAGGGCTTTGCGCTATGTGCTCACTTCAAGATCACAGAACAGGTGGTTTCTTACTCTCACAAACCAAATTATCTGCCTGTCTGAGCTGAACCCTAGCTGTAAACCATTAACCGACAGTCAGGGAACCAATTTAATCGTGAGCACCCCACCAGGTAAGCTGCAATAGAAAGGATCCTACAAAATGCCTGACTAGGACCTCTCACAACGGTCCAAGTCATCCAAGAGAAGGTCTCAGCGTCTGCCCCAGCCGAGAAGCACCCAGGGAGACATGAAAACTCAGAAACACAAACTCACTGCCACCCCGGTGATTCGGACGCATCGCTGCCCTCTTGGCCAGGGTAGAACCACTTTCGGGTCCCTGAAGCAGAACATGTTTTGTTTTGTTTTGGGGGGCTATGAATCTTTACAGGGGCAGAAAGCCTCGTTTCCCCAGGATCAAAGGGCTGATCTTGGGATTAGCAGCCCAACTTGTAACCTGCTACACTCCCAGGGCTGATAATGTGGGATCCTGAGTCAAAAGACAGCGGGTCTTTTAAATGGAATTATCTGAATAAGCTATGGCTTTCCTTGACCAGAGTGGCTACAGGGAGAAAGGAAAGGATAAAATATAAAACTCCCTATGAAGTAACAAGCCCTCGGAGATTCTGAGAACCTACAAATTAAGCAAGCGATCATGCCTGGAGAGCCTGTGGCCTCGGCAGTTAACTGAAGGCAACTAAAAAGCACTGATTCTAGTCACTTCTCAGTCCGACTCCAGGCTGTCCTGGCTGTAATCTGGACAGAAGCAGATCATACGGTTTTTTTTCTATGGCACCCACTGGGTGGGTTCCAACTGTCCACGTTCAGGCTAGTAGTGCCGTGTAAACCTAGGTATATTGGCATACCTTATGTATTTCTGCTAGAGGCGTTATCTGACTCCTGGCAACCCCAGATGCACCAGAGAATGGTATCCTGTAAGTTTTCAACAGCTGATATTCTGAACGTGGACTGGGTTTTTTTCCTCCACAGCATCTCTAGGTGGAATCTCTAAAACTGCGAAAGACATGCCACTTCTTCCTTGTAAAAACAATTTCTCTTCTATATCTGCATCTGTCTATCTAAACCTCACATGAGATGCCGCCACTTTTACTACGATCTACTCTGGAGTTAGTTATAGCTGGATAGAAAATAAAGCCCCCCTACAGCAATACAAAGTCCTTCTTCTGTGATGACAGAAAGACTTGGGCACCTACCTTCACCTTATCCTTGAGGAAAGGAAGAGTGAAGTGCCCGTGAAGAAGTCCGTTTTTCTCAAAGAACACAACATCCTGCTGGTTGGGTTTGTCTTGGGTCGATGCCATCAAGCCGCCGGAGGGCCTGAGAGCGAGCACACAGAGCATGCTAGCCCATCCTCGGGAGCCCCTGGCCAGCTCACCGCCAAGACGAGCTCGGAGAAATGACGCCCAGCAAAAGTCAACTTTCAGGCATCGAAGTCATTTTCAACCCTGTGTGTCCCTTCAGAATACATCGCCCTCCTGTGGGGCTGTGCCTACTGAAAGATAGCTCGGGCCGCTTTCTAAGTTGCCACATCCGCAGAGCCATGCGCACTTCAGTGACATCAGGGCAGCTTTCAAAATAAACCGATTATTTGACCATTCAAGTGCAAGCTCCTAGAAAACTGTCACTACTTCTCCTTCAATGCTACAATGTTAGCAAACAGCAGGAGGCTTCAAAAGGATCACGGGAAAAAATCCCATCATCTTTTATTTGCATTTTTCCATGACCTTTGAAGCATTCACAATCTATGCCCCAGCAGGTATTCTTCAACATCTCAATTCACTAAAAGCTTCTCAACAGCTTCATCGTGTTTATATTGTCTCTCCCAATGGTCCCTTAGTTGCTGAAGAGAAACAAGGTGTTTGAAGCCTAGGGGCCCAATGGTTTGCATGTAACAGGTGCTAGTGAGACAGAGGAGATGCTGCATGTATCTGCAATCAGGGCAGCTGCAGGGGACAAACAGGTGAGGACTGCACAAGGGACCAAGAGGGTGATGCAGATACAGGCCCACCACTGAGCCTGCATGTTCCCGAGCAAGCAGATCCTGCCAGCAGCCAGCAGAAGGAACTTCTTTTTCCAATTTCCTCCAAGTTCCAATTACTCCATCAAGATCTGGAAGCTGTAACTTCCCTCCCCAGCACAATTTTCTGTTGCACACAATGGCTGCAATAAGCCCATCCACAGCCATAACTTAAGAATGAAAACTGTATGGGCCTGGGAGTGATCAGATCTGCGAGAAAGGGCAGCAATAAGTATTCAACTTAAATCCAGACTTTTGGGGAGAAAAAAGTCTTACAGCCAAATGCAGGAAAATGCCCTCTGAGTAACAAACATCTGTATTTAACTGGTATCTCCCACACGCAGGGCTCCACAGCATCTTCTGAGATGATGGAGCATGCAGGGGAGGGGGGGGTATTCTCAAATGCCCACTCCCACTCACTTCCACGCCAAGGTCGGTCCCAGTCCTGCCACAGGCTCACTGGTCGACTGCAAAGCAAGCTCTCGACTCCAAACTCTGACCTTCCGGCCACCTGGGCAGGGAGTAAAGGGAGAAAACAGAAAGGCAAAACATTAGGATGTATTTTGTTATGCCAGAAACGTTTCGGACACCTTCTTTACTAAACAGAAATTGCCATGGCTTGAGAAAGGCACATTAGATCAAGCCCGTTGGAAATTTTAAATTAATCCTCACATTTGCATCAGGGAATGACATGTGAGACTGTCTACATGTTGGAGACCTACTTCGTGAAGCAAGTAAGAGAAGGTGTAAAACAGTTATGATAATGATCAAGGGAAGGGCAGATGGACAGGTGAACGGACAGCAGAAGGAATGAAGATGGAGAGAAGAGCCGAACTCCGTAGGGAACCCCCACGTAAAACTGAGGCTTTCATGCTTAGCGGGTGCAGCACCGGGACATAAGGGGGTGCTTCTAATCTCAAGTACTAGCCGAAAGAATGACGACTCAGGATGTGCTCAATGATATCTCACAGGTGGCCTCAAAGACGCTTGTAGCTCTGAACTCGACTCCTTAAACATTGAAAGCAGTGGACCTTCCCCTTGTACGTGTAAAGAAAGCGCCAGCCACAGCAAAAAGAAGAAAACCGTCTTGAACATGTAGGATTAAAAGTTTTGTTTTTGTTTCACTCAACTTATTTCCATACCTGTCTCCGGGCAAACAACACTCACAGCAACAAACTGTCCATCCCCACGCCAGGTAATCTGTGGTCTTTGGTCATCCCAGGGCAGAGCCGACTCAGGCTGAGGACAGGAAGACACAGTGATGTTATTAGCATGCTGAAGTAGTCCAGGGGCAAACATGCCACAAGCGATTATGCACCAAAGTAGCCCCATGCACCAAAATTTTCATAAAGGATCACCAAAAAAACTACAGTGCCCTCGAGTGGATTCCGACTCATCACAGTGTATAGCACAGTCCCTATTGGTTTCCCAGACTAAGTCTTTACAGGAGTAGAAAGCTTCATCTTTCTCCCACAGAGTGGTTGGTGGTTTCCAACTGCTAACCTCACAATAAGCAGCCCAATGCCCTCGACTCAAGTCTTCCCTCAACACAAGAACACTTTGTTCTAATAATCCACATTCTGTGATGCTCACCTCCCTGACACGATCGCTGAAGACAAAACGAGTGCATAAGCAAATGTGAAGAAAGCTGATGGTGCCCGGCTATGAAAAGATACAGTGCCTGGGGTCTTACAGGCTTGAGGATAAACAAGTGGCCATCTACCTGAAAAGCAACAAAGCCCACATGGAAAAAGCACACCAGCCCGTGTGATCATGAGGTGTCAATGGGATAAGGTATCAGGCATCTAAGACCTAGAACAAAATCATATGAATGTGAATGTTGGGGGAGGGATGAAAAGTGGAGACCCAAAGCCCATCTGTAGACAATTGGACATCCCCTCAATAAGGGTCACATGGAAAAGATGAGCCAGTCAGGGTGCAGTATAGCACTGATGAAACACACAACTTTCCTCTAGATCCTTAATGCTTCCTTCCCCTCACTATCCTGACCTCAATTCTACCTTAAAAATCAGACTAGACCATAACATGTACACTGCTACAGATAAGAGCCCGCAACACAGGGAATCCAAGATAGATACACCCCTCAGGGCCAACAAGGAAAGTAGAGATACCAGGAGGATTAGGGGAGGATGGGGGGGAGAAAGGGGAAATCAATCGCCAGGATCAACATATAACCCTCTCCCTGGGGAACGAATAATGGAAAAGTGGGTGAGGGGGGACAGAGGATGATGTAAGATATGAAAATAATAATCTATAACTTATCAAGGGTTCGTGAGAGAGGGAGGGTTGGGGAGGGAGGGGGGAAAATGAGGAGCTGATACCAAGGGCTCAAGTAGAAGAAAATGCTTTGAAAATGATGATGGCAATGTATGTACAAATGTGCTCGACACAATGGATGAATGTATGAATTGCATTGATAAGAGAAGTAAGAGGCCCCAATAAAAGTATTTAATAATAAATAAATAAAAGAGTAGCCCAACACAAAACCACGGAACCACCATTACTCCTACACAGAGGGCTAACTGAAGCACTCCAGAAACCTGCTTCTGGAACCCTTCCTTCCAAGAGGCCGCTCAGGCCCCGAAGTCACCCAACTAAACTGCCAGTTTCTCTGAGCCCAAGCCAACAGTATGAGACTTGTTTTTCTTTAAAACAGCTGGGAACCAGCATCCACTGGAATCAATATTAACAGTCACTGGGAAAGCTCAGCCAACACAAAAGGAAACACTACATCAATACAACTGAAAAATCAAATCATTCCTTAGAGTAAACTAATTAGCATCTGACTAATCCATTCAAATTGCCTTGAGTTGTGTAACTATCATCCAAAGTTTGAACATTCTCACCACCACAAGAAGAAATCCTGTACCCATGAGCGGTCACTATTTACCCTCCATACATAGGCCCTATTCCTCGTCCCCGGCCAACACTAATCTACTTTCTGTATCCAAAGATCTGCCTATTCTAGACATGTCACACAAATGGAGTCTTGAAAGACGCGTGATCTTTTGTGACTGGCTGCTTTCTACTTAGCAAAATGTTTCTGCGATTCATCCAGGCGGCAGTATCTATTAGTAAAGCACTTTTTTTTTGACAACCATAAACTTCAAAAAGTTCGTGGAAAAATGGAATTAAAAGATAATGAAACATCTTCATGATCTTTATGAAGCCCCGTTGTATATGATCTTAAGAGAGTGCTTGGAGGGTAACACACCACAATAACTGTTTTTAAAAGATAAAAGAAGTACGAATGTGCATAAACTATTTCCTTAGGCCTTGTTTATTTTCCCATTTCTCTTTCATTCCTACAAAAACATCACTTAAAAACCTGAAGGATATGAAAGCTCTGCTAAGCTAAACAGAAAGATGATGCTTTCGGCTCCCATCGAGATTTACAGCCTCAGCAGTCCTCCGGGGCACTTCTACTCGGGCGTGTAGAGCTGCGAAGTCCAAATCCAGTGATGGCAGTGAGTGAGGGAAACAGAGAACTGCTAGTTGAGGCTGAGGAAGCAAGGTCATGTCTGGGAATACTTCCTCCATTTTCCTGCCCATTCTTTGCTGCTTCAAATGGGCCCGGGGGGCACACAGAATAGTAAAGTTGACTGAGAATGCATGCCTTACTCAAAACATTATCTTGAAATATAAACTATGCAGTTGGTTTTTTTTGTTTGTTTCACTTCAAAAATTTCTTACCAATCGTTAATTCTATTATCCCCAAAATTACGTATGGACCACTAAGTTATTTGAAGCTCCCTGATACATGATTCCTTCCCAATCTTATCACGGCCCTGGCCTGGGAGCCATACCATGTCTACTTCAGAGAGAACACGGAGCCTCAAATGGCAGGATGCCAAAGAATAATAAAAAGTACACATCTTCTTGGTGCCTTACTTTTACTCAGTGATAATGCCTTTAAATGAGTGTTTTCACAAGGTTCATACTATAAATGAAGATGAGTATAAAGTATAAAGGTTCATACTATAAATGAAGATGAGTATATATAACATGGTAGCAGACACTTGTGCAAAGCGACTTCCCCACACACTGCCGGAGGATGCTTGTCTCACACTGCCTGCCTTAAGGGGCACTCTAACCTATTAGATCCACTCATCAGGTCACCACTAAAGTCCCTGAGATTTTCTAACCCGCAAGGAAGGAAAACCAGGGAGCCCTGGTGGTGCTGTGGGCAAGTGTTGGTCTGCTAACTCCAAGGTTGATGGTTCAAACCCGCCAGCAACCCACAAGAGAAAGATGAGGCTCTACTCCCATAAAGATCTAGTGCCTCGGCAATGCTGTACAGGATCACTGGGGGCAGCAGGTTTGGGTTTCCAGTGAGTCGATGACTCCAGTGTGTGCAGGGCAGTGCGTGCTCGGGAGAGCGAGGGGAGGGCATTCTCTTTCTACCTGTGAGGCCTCATTTCTTTAATTGGATGGAGAAGCCAGCCAATGACTTCTTTGACGGGTGATGCCTGTGCTCTCGCAGAGCTCTAGAGCAAGAGAGGGGTATCTGTCACCAGCTTCCAACTGGGCGACCTGGATTTCCTGGTGGAAATTTCCTAAGGAAAGGTCTTTATCCATCAGACCAACCTTACCATTTGTATCTGCATAGCTGTTGGCCTGCCTTCGGATCCATGGAACTGCGTCTCCTTTTTGCCCCACCCAACAGTGATAAACTTGCCTAAAGAACAAATTAAGAAAATGCAAAACAACCAATAAGTAAGTGAAATAAAGTGACAGCAGTTTCATTGTTCTTCTTCGTGAAGCAGTCACCGGCCATTACCTAGATCCTCTCTAAGGCCTCTCAGTTCTGGACTGAGAAGCAGCCGATGTTAGCTAACCCTATTTTCCATAGTGACCCAATGACTCACAGCACCCTGAGTAATCCAGGGTGTGTCGCTGGCTTCTAGGAAGCATCTCTCCTTGGCAGTGGACTCCCTCAGTTGCCTGGCCTACTCCTCCACCCTCAGCTTTCCTCTATTCCGTGCAATTCAGCCCACTCAGCTCCAGCGCTGCTTCCCCGGGAAGCCTTCCCTCTCCAGGTACCCCCTCCCTCCTCCCACCCCCTCACACTGCCCATGCATTTCACTCCTGTACTGGGGGGCTCCACAGCAGGAAAGCTGGCCTCTTCACCACTGTTCATGGTCCGCAACACCAAGCACCTAGTCGGCTTCACAGCACTGACTTAGTAAATGGTTTCAGAACAGATAAAGTAGTTTTGAAGGAATAGCTGCAGTTTCCTAAAAGATTTTTCAGAGCTGATGAAGTAAGATGGCAAGAGATTGGACCTCAGCAAACATTTAAATCCCTTCTGCCCTGCCTATCTCCTCAATCAGGCCATCGACCTGGTGCCTTTAATGTGGCCAGAGCACCTTCCACTCAACAAGCGATCTCTTCACCTTCAGTACGCCCCCAGCCTGAGTGCCTACAGGGCCTCAGCTAGAACTCAGCAGAAGTTGTTCCTGCACAGGGCAGATTCAGGTCTTGTCGCTAAGTCCAAATGTCAGCCTTTTTTCCTACCTCTTGTTTTCCTCTCCAAAATGGTCTCCCAGCGAAGCGTCCCCTATTCTACTAGCACAGGACCCCCAGATGAAGCCTCTCCTAGGGCTTGCACAGCAAGATCTAGGGGACCTGACCCACAGTCTGCCGGGCCCCAGGTTACTGACAAAGGAAGCCAATCTCTAGACCTGTGGAGGCAGCAGAGGGTGTCTTTTAAGGCCTGAGATGTCCAAAGGTGCCTATCAGACATTGAATAAGTAGATTTAAGTTTCACAGTACATTGGTTTAGGACACAGTGATCAGTGTGCAAACAAATGATCAAAACCGAGGAGGAATTCCAGGCCACAAAATGCTTCACGCAGGCTTTACTCACTTTCGCCAAAGTCGTCCTGGTGGATTTGCTGCTCCAGGATTGGTTCAAAGTCTTTGGTCATCATAATCAGGGTCTGCTGACCTAGGAGGAGCACCAGCAAGGGTTTCCATGGCATGTCATGAACTCGACACACCAGCACTAAAGCTACAGAGCTGAGGGAGAAGAGCTGATAGTCACAGCAGGACACTTGGGGCTCACTTATATGCCCTGATGTTTACTTCACCTCGTGCTTATTCTCAGCTCCCCTGCATGCAGAGAGCCCTAGGAGCATGCACTGCTGGAGACAAAGTCAGTCAGGCGGCACGCTTGCTTACCTGTGGCTAGCAGCACCAGCTCTTGGTCAGGACTCCAACTCATGACAGAGATACCGCTGGCTACACTCCCAACGCACTCCAGCTAGACAGAAAAGGGCAAGAGAGAGTGTCAATCGCCAGCACCTATGTCAGTATCTACTCTGACTTTAACCAAAACAAATGAAGACAAAGCACACAAACATGAATTTACTAACAAACATTGAGAACAGGTGTTAAGAGATGAGGCATGACGTTAGGCACGGGGATTAGAAATGACAGTGGTCACTCCTTCCTTCCAGAGTTGTCTCAGGAGAGAAAGACACTGAAGCAGGGTTAGGGCTGAATCAGGGTTCTCAGAGAAGCAAAGGGGACGCTCAGAATGACAAGTGACCAGGAAGTCCTGGGCAGTTTTTTTAAGAGGTGCCTTAAAAAGTAAGAACAGGGCTGGGAGAGAGAGCAGTTAAAATTCAGAGGCAAAGGTACAACACAAGTGTCCACATAAGCGGGTGTGATGTGTGTGGTGGGGCGGAGATCAAGCTAAAGAGAAAGCTGGTGAAGAAACAATGTGAGGTCTTCGTGGCCAGTCAGGAGCAAGACCGCTGTCTGCCCACAGAGGGCTGAGAGCACACCACTGACGAGTCATGTGTACAGAAGGAATTCAAAAATCAGGAAACAAATCCTACCAGGTGTTGGAAAATAAAAGTTGCCTTTTAAACACAGGGAATGCAATTCCTTTATACTTGATGACTGCAGTACTTCTACCCATAAACTGAGACAAGGACTGCTACTACTGCACTATAATATTCTCAGTTCCTTACATCTGGTTAAGGGTGTAGTTGTGTGTATCTATTAATGGTTATAAAGGTTAAGGGGGAAGGGGTCAGATTTAGACCACCAGGGTTCACACCCCCTTTGAAACTATGTAACCTTAAGCTCTTAGCTCCCTGATCCCCTCCTCTGAAGAACAGAGAAACAAGTTACCGCCTAAGGTTGGAGTGAAGAGTAATGTAATTTGGCATGAACAGCCCTTAAGAGAGTTTCCTGCACATTGTAAATACTTACTATATGACGGCTATTCCTATGCTAATAACTACTGTGACACAGTCGATGTTAAAAGAGATTACAACTAATAAGCAGGTATGGAAAATGAAAAGTAATCAAGCATTGTACCCTATCTGTCCATATGTAACTCACATAGCACACAAAGGAGACTAATGGAGGGGGCTCTCCATTTGCAGAAAATCCATATAATGTATACATTATTTTTGTAAAAAGGAGTCATTTGACATCATTGCTGTTAAGAAGTTAAAGGTAGAAACCCAGACATTCAATCTGAGAGCTTATGCCCAAGTAGAGAAAGAGCAAATGCCTGAAATCTAGATCACCTGGTAGTTTTAAGGTAGGCACATACTAACTGTGTATTACTTCATATCTATAGTTCAGGGACTCCAGAGCTAGCTGGCAATGACATGTAATCAGTACTCATTACAGAAAGCTCAAGTCATATAAACATTCCTAAATTGAGAAAGAAGGGTTATAACTCAAGTTCAGATTCTAATAAGAGGTGATATACGTAAACCACCCAAGAATGGGATGGTGTGTTTATATCTACATAAAAGAAAAACGACAGATAAAGCCCATCCATCATCCAAATTTGGAATATCTTCAGTGTTCCGATTAACAGATACAGTAGACAAATACTGAGCTTTAGGAGAATTCTGACATACGGCGAATGCCGGGCCCACAACCGTTCTGAAGAAACAGTCACTGTAATATGGCTACTCGTTGGAAAGCAGCAGCGCAGGGCAAGCGCCTTGCTTGAAGACATGCATGCTCCTTTCTCAGTGACGCCCCGCCCCGCTCACCTGGTGTGTGCTGAGATTGCAGAGCACAACGTCCCCAGAGGCCGTGGCCACGCACACAGACTCCTGATCCAGCAAGTTCTGAATACCGACAAGGCGGCCACTTCCGTCCTCTGGGAGAAAGCCTTCTGCCACCAGCGAAATGTCATTCTTCACCTTCCACCAAAACACACACCAAATTAATGCCGTCTCCTTTCCCACAGCTTGGACCACTTCCAGAAATGCCTTTTCATGCTGCTTTTATATCAAGAAAGCTTTCAAAATGCCTTTTCCTGGACTGAAATCTTGATTTTCACTTCAGAAATACCACAAATCCATCCTCTTTCACAATGGCTATGCCTAGTGCTAGCATTCTCCACCACGCACGTACCTCTCTTGCAATGGGGTCTATTTCGAGCAGGCCATGTTCGGAGCCAACGAGCACCGTGCCTTGTTCCGTCCAGAGAGAGAAGCACTGGGGTGTCCCTGGAGCCGGAATGTCCCTGAACTCCAGGGTCCGAAGTAACTTCAGATTTCGCATGATGAAGCAAGTCCCAAGACAAGCACACTTATCTCCTGATATTTATTCCTGAAAGAGAATGGAAGAGATTAATAATGATAGAAGACAGAACTCAGAAGTAATGATTCAGGGGAAGCAGGGAAGGGCTGGGAAGTGATGTGGCATAATACTTCTGGTTGGGCTCCTGGGTAGAAAGATGAGGCTTTCTAATGCCAGCCTAGGAAACCCACAAGGGCAGTTCTACCCTGTCCCTTAGGGTCTCCGTGTGAGTCAGATCAACTCTCTGGCACCGAGAGAGTGGAGGGGTAAAAACTACCTGTGTGTCACTGGGAACCAGTGGGCTGAAGTGGGTTATGTGAATGTGCATTGCATACTCCGCCACAGGGATGCAAGGAGGCGGCCTGACCCACTCGCTGCTCACAGCCACAGTCCATGAACCGAAGTTTCACAAATCTGTTTGGCGCTTTTACTCCTGAGGGTCAAGATTCTTGATTTCAGTGTCTGTTCTTTAAGGAACATTTAGTCATCAGTTATTCCTTAGGAAAAGTTGGAAAGAACAAAATTAATGGGGGCCTATTTTTGCTTGGCAAGATAAACGTATCTTTATAACCACACGGAAAAACAAGACTGATTAAAACTATATGAAAAGCTCAATGTGTATGGACTGGCAGTTGGAGAGAATCTGGAATTGATGACTCTACTATCTCCTGCTGTTTGTGCTATGAAGTTATTCTGACTCATGGCGACCCTGTTTCCTCGGCTTGAGCCCAGGTAGTGTAGAGGTTACACGTGGGACTGTTAACTGCCAGGTAGCAGTTTGAGATCACCAGCCACTCTGAGGGGAAAAGATGGGGCTTTCTACTCCCATGAAGAGTTTCAGTCTAGGAAACCCACAGGGGCAGTTCCACCCTGTCCAAAGGGTAGCTTTGAGTCAGAACTCAATGGCAGTGAGTTTGGCTGGAATCTTTAAGGAAGCAGAATCACCAGGTCTTTCTGCTGCAGAGCTGCTGGGGAGGTTCAGACTGCCAACCCTTCAATTAGTAGCCAAGGGTCCACTAACATCCATCAAGTAAATGTGTAGCAGCACAGGTGATTCAGCGGTTAAATGGCTTGGAGCCCCTTTTACAGAGTCGCTAGGCGTCAAAATGGGCTGACTGGCAAAGGGCGGGGTAAGGACAGACACTCTACGAGACACACGCAACAAACACCCCGAGCCCCCAACCACTGAGAACAGAGCCACACCACATGAGCTCCTTCTTTCTCACCTTTAGCCTCAAAACTGACCTTCTGAGGACTTGTTGTGCTGTCAACACTTTTTTACTTCCTTATCTTCTAAGAAGTGATCCTCCCCAGGATTAGCGCCCTTTGCAATCTCCAACCTCCCCCTCAGGCCTCCTTCACTCAATTTTTCTCAGTTCTCAGGCATACTAAACATCCCTTCAGAGTTAGGGCAATCTCAGATCCTCTCCTAACTTCCTGAAACCTACTCCCTTTTCTTCCCTTGCCCATTTATCCATCCATCTCTTGGGTAATCATCATGTCCTTGACTACAGCTAACCGGATCTAACTGCCTAGTCCAGGGCCTCCAAACACACTCAATCCATGTGTTCTAGAGCAGGGGCCGACAAACTGCCACTCAAGAGCCGTATGTGCACATACATGCAGCTCTGAAATAAAATTGAAAAAATTTTTAAGGATATTATTCAGATAATGGTTATCTCATTTGTTTGAAAAATATATTTACGACTCTCGAATAATTTTTAAATTGTTGTGAAGGCATGGATTGGCTCTTCCATCTCAAAAGTTTAATGACCCCTGTCCCAAAGTAAGCAGAGAGTAAACTGTGCTAACCAGTTTGGTGGTCATACCCACCAGCTACACCAAGGAAAAATATGAGGTCATTCGCATCCGTGAAAACTGACAAAGCCCAGGGAACCTTACAGGAGGGTGCTAAGAGTCAGAATAAGGCAGTGAGAGGTTTTTTGGATGTTATCACAAGGCCATCTCTTTAAGTATACAGAATCCAACCAGGGATCCGACCGGAGAAATAAAGAATTTCTTACCAAATGACCCTTGGCCCATTGCCCTGGAGTCTATTTCAACCAGCAGGAGCCCTGGAGGGCAGAGTAGACTTGCTCCAAGGCTGAAATATTTAGAAAAGGGGAATGCTATGTAGTCCTCCCAAGGTGCTGTTAAGGGGTTCAAACCACCAACCTTTGAGTTCACAGCAGAGCCCTTAGCCAGGGCTCCTCCACCAAATGACCCCAAACAAAACAAATCAAACCCCACTACCTTCAACTCGGACTCAAGGCAACCCCACCAGGCAGAGTAGAACTAACTGCTCCTTCCTGCTTCCCAGATTGTACATCCCTGCAGGAGCAGCCAGCCTCTACTTTCAACCCCAGAGTCAGCCGTGGGTTTGAACCTCTCACACTACTGGTTAGCAGCCCAGCACTTAACTCACTACAACACCAGAGTGACTAACCAAATGACTGCTTTCTCCATTTGGGGACATGAAATGAAGTGGCATTTCTATTGTATCGCTCGAGCTGAAACGTTGGTCTTCTTTTTGTTCACCCTTTCAAACTCATCCAACTAGATCAAATTCTCGAGTTTCCAAACACACAAGGGCCTTCAAAAACTGGCCCCTGGAGAATCACGGAAGCAACCAGCGAGTCGTTCAATATGGCTGTTGGAAAGGACAGCTCCGGGGCACGTATGACGCATGTCTTCGATCTACCTTCTCCAGCCTCCTTTCCTCATTCTTGGGATTTGCAGCTACCATACTGAACTACTCATGGTTCCTTCTGTGGTTCTAAATGTACAGTTCGGATCCCGGCGGGCCACAGCACCCCAATCCGCCCACGGTGCTGCTTCCATTAAACAAGGGCTGAGCATTTACTTGCCACCTGTAAGGGGCTGAAGGTTCAAGAAGGTGCTAAGAGTGACTGGAATTGGATTGGCACAGGGGAAATCACGTCCCTGAAAAGGTCCCAGACCCAGAAGAGGCACACAGCCCAGTACCCTAACCTCTGTAACCACTGCCTACTACTATGGACCAATTCATTCTATTTGCTTTCAGGGGTAACATCCGTCCTCTGCAAGGAATCTAGAGGTTGTACCCGTGTAGCTGGAAGAACGCAAGTTCCGGGCCCAAGCCACCCCACCAGCACCCCCATCCCACGGTCGCGAGGTGGAACCCCGGAGAAGCCTGCAGGCTTCAGAAAAGCGGTGCACCCCATATCAATGCCGCATTCCACTCCCAGACCCTCAGCAAACGGAAATTGGTACTCTGGTCACTTTCATCAGAGCACCCCTAATCAGAGCCCGGGACCCCTGCCTGCTAACCTGGGTGGGTGTCTGGGACTCTCACCTGCCCGCGCTCTGAGGAACGAGCCTCCCTGGGGACGCGTGGCAGGTCTCCGGAGTCGGCCGGACTGCGCACGCACCCGCCTCACTGCGCAGCTGCCGACCCCTCAGGGTGCACGCTGGGACTTCGAGCCACCAGGCCCCCGGCCCCAAGGTCTAGGGCTGAGGAGGGCGGGCGGGTGCGCCAGTGACGCGCGAGCCAGGCAGCTGGACGGACACACGCTGGACTTCAAGGACGGAGGGGGCGTGGCTGCAAGGGGGGCAGCCAGGAGGCGGGGGCCCCCAGGCTGCTCCCAGTTTTCCGCCGGCCGTAGTCCGGGAAGGCAGAGGTAGAAGAGTTTCCCTGGCCACCCGCCCTTGGGCCCGCCACTTCTTCCACCGTATTGTATTTATCCCCGCTCTGCGCGTGGCTAAGCGTTGGGCTGTTAGTCGAGAGGTGAGCCGATCGAGCCCACTCGTTGCTCCACCAGAGAAAGCTGAAGCAATCTGCTTCCACAAAGATTCACTGGAAACCCTTCGGGGCGGCTCTCCTCTGTCCTACAGGGCCACTAAAAGTCGGAATCACCCCCAAGGCCGTGAGGTTTCGTACCTCCCACTTCAAAATCTCGTGGCTCGCAGCGGTAGGCGGAGCCGGCATGCCAGGGACGTAGCGCGCGTGCGCGTGACGTAAGCGGCGCGCCGGAAAGGCGTCCGCGCGGGGTCTGCAGGGAGGAAGCGCTTGATCCCAGGAGGGCGGGGTAGCCACGCTGGAGGTCGCCCAGGAGGGCGGGGTAGCCACGCTGGAGGTCGCCATGGCTACGGAGTCTGCGGCCGCTGCGCCATCTATCCCGTCGCTAGTCGATCGGTACTTCACTCGCTGGTACAAGGCAGGTAAGGGAGAAGCCGCTCGGGCCTGCTGACGGCCTCGGCCGCGCCGGCCTCAAGCTGTGGGACCCCAGTACTCAGCCTGCAATCCACGGACGCTCTCCCGGCGCCTCCTCCACGTCAAAGGGACTGGATGGATCTCTCCCTTCCTGACGGACGGAATGCAATTTCCAAAGGCGGGAAATACTCCCTGGGACGTTTAGGGCCTGGCGTGCGCGGTGCATATTTCTAGGTTGCGTGCGGGAACAGGAGTAGTCTAAGATGATGTCTGCGAGCTAGGCAAGAGCAGGAATTCAGTGCTTTAGTGTCTGGCAGTTTGGGAGGCGTCGTTTTATCTTTATCCTGCCCTTAATGCCACGTACACATTGGAGATACATTACAGTATATAAGTGATCACATTGTAGTAATTAAGGTAGCGGCGATAGGGCTGGAAAGGATGGAATGAAAGCATTTAGAAAAGTACCCAGGTAACTTGCACCATTTGTGTGACGGTGGTGGTGGTGACCCATGCTCTCATGGTAGGTAGCATGTTCATTGAATTGGGGGGATACAGAATGCTGGCTCATGAAATTAATCACCTTCACTGTGAATGAATGAGTCTGGGTTAGATCCTTTAGGTGGTTTATAGGAAGCCTTTACGTGCATCTTTTTTAGGGAAATGTGTCTCCAATCCTGTAATTACTGTAGCTCTATGAATCAAAGAAACCATAGTGGCTGCATGCATTTGCAAACCCTCTAGAAAAGTTCATGTTGCCATTGAAAATTATGCACAGGCGCGCGCGCGCGCGCACACACACACACACACACACACACACACACATACACAACTTTTAGAAAAAGTAGTAAATATTGATTCAATAACCACCAGGCTCATTTACTTTTCTTCTAGATGTCAAAGGGAAACCCTGTGAGGACCACTGTGTATTGCAGCATTCTAACCGGTGAGCAGACTGGGAATTTAAATGCACCAATTCTATTTCATTTTCCCTCCTGGTCTTATAGCCTGAGAGAGTCTTGGATTGAACAAAGCCAAACCAAACAGACTCAGTGCCACGGAGTCCATTTTGACTCACAGCGGTCCTATAGGTCCAAATTGAATTGCCTCTGTGGGTTTTCAAGGCAGCAAGTCTTTGCAGAAGCAGAGTGTAGTGGTTGGTTCACCATGTGCCTAGCAGTTCAAGGCGTAACCCACTATGTCTCGAGGGGTCCTTTCGGATTGAACAAGTGTCTATTAAGTAATATCTTCCACTGTGTGGAAATGATGTTATGGGGGTTTGGTTGGTAAAAATTAATCTTCCACCACCTAGTGAATCTTATAAGCCTGATTACCCAAATGTCCACAAGGGGAGCCATACCCTCAGTCGGCTACTACTTGATATAGCCAGCCTCTCTAACCACAGTGAATTGCCAGACTGCCCAAAGGGCTGGGGTAGAGGCATATGCTGTATCCTGCGCTTACTGATGTGCCTGGGTTCTCTGCTTTACATTGGTGCCACTACAAAGGTTTTGGTAGCCTGGGAAGGGAATTCACTCCTGTGCTGCCCTCTTTTGTTGATGCATTCCTTATTCTATAGTCATCCCCCAAGAGTAGCAGAAGGAGAATGGGGGAAATAATGGTTTGAGGAATAAGTGTCAGCTCAGATAGTCTTGTGCGAGTAGGAACACTGGGTTATGGGAGGAAGAAATGATGCCAAGCAGTAACATAGCATCCATTTTTTGCTCCTTGCAGAATATGTGTCATCACATTGGCAGGATCTCATCCAGTTCTTCAAAGTGGAAAAACGATCGAAAGCATTTCCTATCAGATCAGTACCAACTGTAGCAGACTTCAGAACAAGGTCTCTGGGAAATTTAAGCGGGTATGTTCCTGTGATTATTTTCTTAAATTCTGTGGGCATCTACTTAAATCTTCTACATTCACAGTAATGACAGATCTAGTCTGAAAACTCATAGTGTATACCCAGCATCCTTCTCTGGCAGTGTAAGGCACTCGGTCTCAGTGTACTCAACCCTAAAGATATTCTTTTAAAGAAATTCATAAGACCAAAATATCCGTTAACATCGTCTCTATTTGCCCCTGAGGAGGGAAGGTAAGTATTTGAAAGGACAATGCTAGCACTAATACAAAGGAATATTTTGTCCCTTCTAGTTTTAAAATCTTGTATGATTAGTAAGCCAGTATCAAGTTCTGTAGGAGCCCTGGTAGTGCAGTGGTTATTTTGGGGGGTGCCAGTTGCAAGGTCAGCAGTTCAAAACCACCCTCTGATCTTCAGGAGCTAAAGAAGGCTTTCTACTCCTGTGAAGAGTTGGGAACTCACTGGGGCATTTCTACCCTGTCCAGTAGGATCACTATGAGTCAGAAAAGACTTGGTAGCAGTGAGTTTGGTTTGAGTATAAAGTTCTGTAAAACTTAAGTGACCGACTTTATCCTTTATTATCACATAAACTAAATAGACATAAATTCATGTAGTTAAGAAAATAAAAGCCATCTGAGAAAACACAGTATTCTTTGCTCTTTTTGTTTTTCAGTATTTGCCAATCAAATACACACTACCCATACTCCGCCTTCACACAGTATTACATGTACAAAATGTTCTCTCTGGACACATTAAAAGCAGGTATCACAGTAAGAAAAATTTAATAATACACCAAAGAGTCTTAAACCCACTGGTTGGGAGTTTCTGTGGTGAGCTAGGGCCATTTATTGAATTTATCCTAATAATTTCTGCTAATCATTCAAGTCAGGAAGGACTGTTTTTGGGACCCTTGTTCTAATTCTCCTTTGCAGACCTGAAATTCCTGATTTTTCCTCCCTTGAGAAATAAGTGGACTTAGGAAAGCATGCAGAGAAGCTCTCTGGAACTATAAATTCTACAAATTACAATGAACAAATTAGTACTTGTGAAATACCTCTGAGTAATTTCTGCCTAAAGTAATAACACTGTTTTATTTGTAAAGAACAGAGAAGAACCTGCATGTTGAAGCCACTAGAGATATTTTTTATCAGACCCCAGCACTACCAAGTGCCAAACCCAACCCAACTGCCATTGAGTGGAAAGGAAATGGTAAAAGGGTCATGCACCCCCTTACAGAAGGGCCACGGGGAGGAGACGAGCCAGTCAGGGTGCAATATAGCAGCGATGAAACATACAACTTTTCTCTAATTCTTTAGTGCTTCCTCCCCCCACTATCATGATGCCAGTTCTACCTTACAAATCCAGCTAGACTGCCAGTCACGGTGCGATGTAACAATGATGAGAAATACAACCTTCCTCTAGTTCCTAAAGGTTTCCTC